GTAGCTTCTATTAACAATAACCTGCCCCTTCCTTTTTAATTTGTCAATAGTGAGAATGCTTTCCCTGCTTGCTTTTCAAGCAAAAAAGGCTACTTTAGAATTCTAAATTTGCTTAAAAGGGAACTCTCAATTGTCATTCCCATCCCCACCAAACAGCATTCTGTAGTATGACTGGACAGAAATTTTTTTCCTTTTTTCTAACTTCCAGGAGACCTGATCCGAGCCCTCTTTTACATTCTGCTTCTCCAAAATTGCCAAAAGCTCTTCAAACTCTTGAATTTCTCAGTCCTTTAAATGTCTGTTCACTCTAACAGACCATTCGACACAATCATTGTAAATCCAGTATGCATCAGCCACCAACATCAATTTCGAATGGGCAATCTCAAAATTTTTGGGAAACCTGTTCTGCAAGCTGTCTTCACCAACCCATTTGTCACACCAGAATCTGATTTTATTCCCCTTCCCCAGGTTCCATTTAATACAGCTATAGAATCTCGGTCATTGTTTCATTATATTCTTCCACAAGTCTCGTCCATGAGGCCTAGAGCTGGCCCCAGAACATATCGCATTCAGATCACCCCAGCGGACAGACACAATTTTTCTCCACAACTTGTAATCTTCATTCAAAGACTTCAATAACCATTTTCCTTGAAGTGCCAAATTCATGTTGACAAGAGATCTTATCCCTAAATCACCACTATGAATTGGTTTTTTAACCACCTCACAGTTAACCAAATGATACTTCCTTTTTCCATCTTCATCGCCCCATAGAAATCTTCATTGAATAGCTTACAATTTCCTTGCAATTTTTTTGGGGATTGTGAGTGTCAAAAGGTAGTAAATAGGGAGGTTGGACATAGTGCTTTTGATTAGAGTTAAGTGGCATCTCTTAGATAGGAAATTCCTTTTCCAACTCGCAAGTCTATTCAAACATTTCAATAACTGGTTCCCAGGTACACTTATCTTTAAATTTGGCCTCCAAAGGAACCCCTAAATATTTCGTAGGAAACACCACTGCCTTGCACCCAAAACCTTGGCATATTTGCTGCCATCCCCATTACTCCCTGTTCTAACAAGCCCTGATTTTAAGAGGTTTATTTTCAGCCCTGATACAGCCTGAAAACAATGAAGGATACAGTGAAGGCGTAACAGATTCTTATCAATCCATTTACTTCCTCTCTCTCTTTCCCACTCTTGGTAAAGTTGCCAACCATATTGAGGCTATCCAATGTTTTTTCTGTAGGGATGAGCACAAAAATATACCATCTCATGGCTTTTGGAATCATGTAAAGCCCTTTGAAGGAAGTGGGCCTAGTATAAGGTTCTTACAGAGTTTCAATCAAGCTACTCTACTCAAGTAGAGTAGAGGTGCTTATCTTTAAATTTGGCGTCCAAAGGAACCCCCAAATATTTCATAGGAAACACCACTGCCTTGCACCCCAAAACCTTGGCATATTCGCTGCCATCCCCATTACTCCCTGTTCTAGCAAGCTCTGATTTTAAGAGGTTTATTTTCAGCCCCGATACAGTCTGAAAACAATGAAGGATACAGCGAAGGCGTAACATATTCCTATCAATCCATTTACTTCCTCTCTCTCTTTCCCACTCTTGGTAAAGTTGCCAACCATATTGAAGCTATCCAATGTTTTCTCTGTAGGGATGAGCACAAAAATATACCATCTCATGACTTTTGGAATCATGTGAAGCCCTTTGAAGTAAGGGGGCCTAGGTATAAGGTTCTTACCGAGTTTTAATCAGGCTACTCTACTCAAGTAGAAAAGGAGGTTCTTGTGCATTGGTTCATGGAATTACATGAGGACTAAGTTTTTTGTTTGTTGGTAGATGGGTCGTGTTTGGGCCCGAGTAGAGGTGTTTTTGGCTAGCCTTTGGTGGTGGGTCGGCCAAATTCCAAGTATGCTCCTGTTTGGAAGCTGTCTAAGAATGGAAAGGATTCTGTCACATCCTACTACAATCTTTTGCTTGGTTCTGAGAAGATTTTGGATTGCTTTCTATAGAAACGAATATGGAAGACAGAAGTGCTTCATAATTCCCTTTTTTTTAAAACAAAAAGCATTGGGAGGCAGCTTGGAGAAGGATTTTAACTGTTGACAAGTTCATGAAGAGAGGCAGAGTTATGGTTAACATGTGCTTTTTAAACCACAAGTAGAGCGTATACCCTAGCTATTTTCTTCTCTGGTGTTCTGAAGCTAGAAGCGCTAAGGGATTTGTGTTCTCCACGTGTTGAACCTCAGCTGGGTTCTCAATGGCTCAAGTAAGGATGCATTATGAGCTCGGGATAGTGTTTATTGCTTTGTCTAGGCAGAAAATTTCTGCTTCATCCCCCATGCATCTTCTTGGTCATCTAGAAAAAGAGATAAGAGGGCTTTTGAAAATGTTTCCTCTTTTCCTAGTCTCTATGACCAATGGCTTAGAGTATTCCATATTTTTGTTCTCTGCTTGTTCGTTGTTTGATGGGAATGATCTTGTTACCTTTTTGAACTCTTCTCCTTGAGAGGGCTGTAAATATTTTGTACATGAGTGGCTCCTCCTTGGTGCTTTTTGATGTTATTATCTTTTTCTCCTTAAAAAATGAGAGTACGATAAATATTCGGTTGTCTGTAGTTGATGCTGCTGGGACTGTATGGATATAGGATAACAGTTGGAATTCTTGGATTTAGGAAGTGGGGTAGCATTTTCTGTAAAGAGTGACTGAAACTTGGTAGTTAGATTTGCTGGCGGCGTCTAAGATTGCCGGTGCCTGCAGTGTTTATCACCTCCTGATGGTAGCTGAATTGTTGGAGAAGCCAATGGGTCTGAGACTGGTTTTTGGGTTTTTTTTTTTTAATAATAATTATATACATTTGTTATGTAACTAGGAGTATGAGACCTATGGTTTTAAGGATTTCGTGTTTGGACTGTGGACCAAGGCATAATAAGCTTGCAAGAAGCCAACTTTTGACATCACCACAAAAAATAAAACCCTTTACTCAAGTCTTTAGACGGTGAAAGGTGAAGGTGGGCAGTATTTGTTTTGGATGATAGCTTTCTTACTATTTGCAGTGGTTATATAAATGGTAATCGCAAGAACTTGGCTAAAGCATAACTGTCTTGCAACAAGATAGTTGTTGACTAGCATAACTATATAGATTTTTATTGTAAAAAAAAGATAGTCTTTGACATTTCTATCAATGGTGTGGACCTTCTGTCAGGTTGCTGAACCCAGCAGTAACCAGCCACAATTAGTTTGATCAATGGTTGATTAGTTAATCCTAGATTAGTTACAATTGTGGTCCTAAGGTTTTACTGCCTCTGGCAGATTTTTCTTTTCTCTACTTCACTGCAGATTTTATAGTTTTTAGTTGTGTTTGTCTTGTATGAGTAAGGGATGGTAGAAAGGCAGGAAAACAAGAAACATTTTACCTAAATTTCAGATCAGAATCAACAACGATTCTCTACCCTAAACGTAAGCCGTAAATTTCTGTTTAATCAAATTCAGGGTCCAAAAATCCTAAAATCTTTTTCTACTAACACCTGCACAGCATTCATAGATACTGGAAGAGAGGGAAACAAATCATAAGAAATTTCTAAGAGGAGTAATGACAATCATGCATTTAGTCTGTTTGCTCATTGACAAATGCACATGTTTATCCCAATTTTTTTGTTGAATCTGGTGGTCTTTGTACTGATACCTAATTTTGAAAAATCTATGATAGCTCTTTTTTCTACATTCATCCCCCTTTTTGTTAAATTTGAATTGTTTTTTTGCAGGAATTATGGCGTTCCTTTGCACCTAATACGGGAGCTCTATGAAACATTTAGGAACTTCAAAATACGTGTTGCTGATTACGTTCGTTATCGGAAAATCACTTCAAATATGAATGATCGATTTCCAGATGCAACCCCTGAAGAGCTTAATGCGTTAGTCTTGAATTTTATTTACCACATGTGGTGTGAATACTCTGAAAGAATAGTTCTTATCCTTTTTTCTTACATTCCCGATTGATTCTGTTGGCTATGCAGAAGTGATGCAACCTGCATTATATGTCGTGAAGAGATGACAACAGCCAAGAAATTAATCTGTGGGCATCTTTTCCATGTGCATTGCCTACGGTCATGGTTAGAGCGACAGCACACATGTCCAACATGCAGAGCATTGGTTGTACCACCTGAAAATGGGACATCGGCTGGAGGACAAAATGTGGCACGGCAAGATGCTCATCAGCAGGGTAAATCTGTTTCTGCATCTGTATGTTTATGTATGTGTTTGTCAAAAATATTCTTCAGATGATGGACCTTTTCATTTATAATAAGACAACCAAACTTTGAGATATAAATTCTTGTATTAAGAATTAATTAAAAGAGTGTTTTTGCGTTTACCTATTTAGAGGCTTATAAATAGTTTAAACACTGTTTTCAAATTTACTTGGTTGGCAATGTAATAAGTGTTTGTTTGGCTGGATTTCTACTTCTGCTTTTATGTCCAAAAGAAGCAGAAGTCTAGGCAGATACTGAAAAATAAAAATGTTTTTAGGCAGAAGTAGAACTTGTTTTTTGATTTTTTTAAAGTTGAAATCAAAAGCGGGAGACATAAGCTATTGAGATATGTTTTTTTGTTGTGTGATATAAATAATATTTTAACAAGTGTACTTGTTAATTTTATATTTTATTGATTTATTAATTTAATATTTTTTAAAATAAAAAATAATACTATTATTATTAATAATTTTATATTTGTTATAAAGTATTCAAATAAGTTTTTATTCTTAAATTAAATAATAATGATTTAAAATTAATAATATACTGAATACGAAAAATAAAGTAATTAAATAAAATAAATGTTTTCAAATAATTTAAATTATTAAAGCAGAATTTAATGAAAAAGTTAATATTATTTAAATAATTCTATTAGTTTTTTTTACTGTTATGCAATTTTTTTAATCATTTCAACATTTATTTTATTTTTGTATCATAATTAATTAAATACTTCATAACATTTTATGTTTAAAATACTTTTTATAGCAAGTTTTACCTGACACAATATTGCTTTTACATGAAACTGCATTTACTAAGAACTATTTTCACAGCACTGTTAGTAGTTCACAGCACAGATAGGCCACTGGATCAAAGGGAACTTTAGTAGGATCATTTGCATGTGCCAATAAGCAGTTTTAAGTTTCCCTAACATTTTTGGTGTTGACTTAGAATGTTTATCTTTTAACATTTCATATCCTCATATATATATATATATATATATATATTGCAAAAAGGAAACTTACAATAAATGATTATTTTTACAATTAACATCTTTATCCAAATCCATAAATGCTTACTTTTGTAATAAATACGTAGGTGTTCTAAGTAACTTAAAACACTTACTGTTTTAAGCATATTTCTGTCATTAATTCAAAACACTCTAAATTCAAGTACATTCCAAATAATTTTTTGAAGATTTCTTGATAATCAATAAGAAAAGATTAGTAATTTAATAAATGGAAACAGGAATGAGCCCCCCAAATACAGATGCTCAGGGTTCTGCTGCTGGAGTTCTCAATGATAATTTGAGTGGTCATCAGGCCAGGCTTCAAGCTGCTGCTGCTGCTGCCTCTGTATATGAAAGATCCTATGCATATCCTTCTGCAAGCACGCTAATATGGTAGGTACCTTTGTATTTCAAATATCTCAAAGTCTAGCTATGGCTTGTGGTTTTTGTTTTCTCACAGAACTCTTTGATGGCCACTATTTCTAATCTGGAGACCTGGAAAGTTATCCTTGTTTATTTACATTTTTGGTTTAGCAGTAGAGAGATGTTGTATAATGTACTAAACTATTAATTTTCAAGCTGTGACTTGATTTTATTCATTTCTGGCTTAAACTGGGCTGGCTTCCATTTGTGTATTCCATTTAAATGTTTTAGGTTTAGTTCCTCATATTTCCAGCTCCCATTTTGATTCTGTGACCAGTTATCATTCTTGCTTTTTTATCTTTGCTATTTGGCCTTTGTGGCTGGGCACTAATTTGCTAGTCCAGCTGTAATTTACAGTTCAAATTAGATAAATATTTCAATCATTAACAGAAAAGAAACATTTTTTGTTTCATGCAAACATTTGAAAGAAATAGTTGTCTTCTATTCAGGTCTCCTGGTTATGCTTTATTTCTTCAGGCATCTAGACCTGAATCTGATATTGGGAGTAGCGTGGAACAAACTTCTGTTGGCTCTAGAGAATACGTAGTTCCTGGTGGATCTTCAAACTTATCCTTTCCACTATTTCCGCACTCTGTTTTTGTGCCTTTCCAGTTAGATGGTGCGAGTGTGAATTCTGGGAACAGATTGGGTGTTGATATAAATATTCCAGATTCTCAGTTGGAAATGCAGAGGAAGTTCCTCCAACATCAGATTGAGGTATCATTTACGATTTGCTTTTTGGTGTTATTACTATTCTTTTAATTTTATTACTGTTAAATTTGTTCTTATGCTTTTATATTCAATTCAGTCTCTCTTAACATCAGTTTCATGCCTAGGACTTTCCTTCTCTCTATATGCTGAAACCATTTTGGTTTCTTAGTTTATGCCTGTTCCTTTAAGAAATATCATTTTAGTGGCAAATTGTTATGTGATCATGATAAATATAAACAAATAATAGGATGACACTGTTTTTCTTTTCAAGCAGCAAACATAAGCTTTGTTTAGTAGTTCTGTGAGAAAAGGACTTTCTTTTAAAAAACTTGCTTATACTTGCTATGACTAAAAGCTTTCTGTACCAAAAGTAATTATAGTGGTTGTTAGATTATTTCTGACAAAATAGCATTCAGATGTTATACAAGATATTTGTCTTTGGTAACCAAACATGTAAAAAAATTATATAAATATATTATTGTTGTATTTAAGAATTTTTTTCTCCTAAGAAGTTGAAATATATTTATAAATTCCAATGAACTTTTTAGAAAGAGTATCTGTATATTTAGTAAGTAATTAAGAGTCATTAATTATTTTTATTTATTTTCCTCGGAAGCAAGTTTTATTGCTTTGAGAAAGCAACCGTGTGGTTGCTTTTCAGAGAAGCCAAATTTATTTTACCAATTGAGGAATTTTGGAAAGCATTTATGAAGTACGCTACCGAAAAAAATTGTTAAAAGCAAGATTGAGCTTTGAAAAAGCAATACAAAAGCTTTACCAAATGGCGCCATAAAATTTGTCAGTTGTCATCATGTGAATCTCACTGATCGAGTCTCTCTCTCTCTCTCTCTCTTGCTGTGTACATATAGGTGTCTATTTGCTTTTGGAAATTGTACTTTATACTTGATTGGTAGGTTTGCCTATCTGGTGTGGCAAAACCAAATAATAGTTTATTTGACATAAGACCCTTTTAGTCAACTGGTTCTCTATGCACATGATCATAAGCTAGGGATTTCTAATATGGTTTAAAATCGAGTATAAAGGAAAAAATATAAATTCAATAACTAAGAGGTTGTAAGAATATTTTATGTGAAGTCCTACTATTTTAACAAATTAAAATAATATGAAATAAAAATAAAAATACAGTATGCTTAATTTTATCAATTTAAAATAATTATGTGAAAATTTATCAATTTAGCATGTAATAATAAGACATTTAATTAACGTTTGTATGTAATATATATTTTCTTTAACAGATCAAATAAATAGAGCTATTATAGTCATTCACAACTTGTTTTTTTCCGGCCTTACTATCGAGCCAAATATTATAATAAGATTGTAAAGAGTTATTATTGATTGTAAACCAAATATTGTTATGTTACCATAATTCCATTACAGTATTTTACCATTCCTGGTAGCTAATCTTTACATTCTAGTTGTATTTCCTTAAGAGGACCAAACATGCTTTTAGAATAGAATTAGTGGAAATTTAATTGAGAAAGTAGGAAAGGGCAAAGGAGTAGGGATTAAGGTGATGAATTACAAGAAGAAATAAATAGAACAGTTTGCTTGAGAGAACAAGAAGCATAGGCAGAATACAAAGGAGATAAGGGGCGATTAAATTCCTGATCAGTAGTTCTCAATTCAATGTTCTCTACTATTGTTCTTGGTTATAGCCTTTTACTAGGCACTAATTAGAATCCTAATTATAACCAATACAGAAAATTTCAAAATAATAAAAATAGTCAAAACTTTCTAAATGCTAATCAAACTTGAGAATCCAGTAAAACTAGTTACGATTTCCCAAATAGCCTAACCAACTTAGTAGTAGAATGATATAGTAATTGCTGGCAGTGATTTTTTTTTTCCCCATAGACCCGTACATTTCTAGGTAGTTTAGAAAAAGGAATATGCTAGTGATTTAAAAATATGGGGAAAAAAGGTTTCAATAGAAAAAGAATGAAAAAGGAGTTTGTTACTGTCTAGATTGAAAAGTAGCTCTAAGGATAAGGCCTATTGGATTTTGGTGATGTCTTCTTAGATATGTGGAAGAAGCCAAAGCAAGATGAATATGGGAGAAACTGTAGAGCTGGTCCCTCTTGGTTTGATTGTGTTCTTTGGATCAGATCAGTTGCGCGTAAATCTTGTGTGACTTCTGGGTTTACCATGTAAGGTGTGTCCCGAGTGGCTCTGTTTTGACTTCTCCGCCAATTATTTTTCTAAAAGAATAAAACTAAAGCAGAACATTGAATGCAAATTGGTGTTCCTTTGTGCATAAAAGTAGTTTTTCCACTTCCTTTAAGAGGTTGTGTATCTTCTTATCAAGGTGAGATTGGGTGCATGAATTGAATGCGATTCCATGTCATTGGTTGATGTCTTGACTGGTTTTAGCATTACTTCTTCAAGCTTAATTAAAACTATTTCTTTAATGCATCTGAATATATGGATTAGCGATTCTCCTGTGTTGCTCTTGTTTTTCTCTTCTTATTAATAAATATCATCTCAATAGATGCTGCATCTGAATATATGGATTAGCTAATTGATTTTCCTGTGTTGCTCTTGTTTTTCTCTACTTTTTAATAAATATCATCTCAATAGATCCTTCAAGACCAGCTCCAACTCCTGCAGATGCCCAAAGCTGAGGAAAGCATGGCAACTGACCACCCAGTATCATCAGCTAGTGTAGGCAAGAGTGTTGGATCTTCATCTGCTTCTGTTTCTGACAGTGGTCGTCGTGAGGGGATTGAAGGAGGGTACTGACAGTGACATTAATTTTGCACAGATGTAGTTGGATTACAAAATAGGCTGAGAAAAGTGCTTGTGGTAAGGGAGGCAGATACAAAGATGAGAAAACTTTTAGCAACTGCTGCAAACTTAGAGCTGAATTATCATGAGGAAGCCAGCTTTAGCTTCCTAGTTTTATTGCTTTTCCTGACAATTCTCAGATTATATGAGTTGTGCAAGGTTGGCAAAATGTAAATTGTGCATGTGAAAGATTACTGCTATCTTACAAAATATTCCTTTACAAAAATAAAAAATAAAAAATTACTGCTTCAAAAGTAGAAGTTTTTGGCCTGAGTGGCATGAAAGAAGATGAGGGATCTCTCTCTGTCTCTACTCTTCTTTTTGTTTGTAAGAAAGAAGATAAATTCTTCTTAATTTTTATCACTTAAGGCATATGAGATTGAAGGTTTCTTGCATGGTTTTGAGCTATGGTTTAGTGTTGATTTTTGGAGAAAAAATATAATTTTATTTTTTTATCTTTTAGGCAGTTTGTTGTATTTAGAGTATTTATAGAAATTTTAATTTATTAATAATTTTTTTTTATTATATTAAAATTTTAATAATATAAAATTATAATTTTTATATAATTTTAATTATATAATATTAAATAATTAAATAATTAACTAATTAAATAAAAAAATAAAATGAAATATACTCGTTTAACGTTCTTCAAGTTGGTACATATATATGGCAAATTCTTAACTTTCAAAGTAAGTTCTAAAAGTCCTCATGCAACCTACCAAAGGTGTATGCACGTTCGACTGGCCTAGGTTCAAAACAGAGTGATC